CCAGGTGGCAGGAGGTAGAAAGGTGGCTAATTGACCTCGTCAATTAGCCAATTCCAGAAACACACTCTTCCTGCACTGGGGGTTGGTATGGAGCCTGAGGGTGGGGTGAATCTGTCCTCACAGAGTTAACAAGAACTCTGGGCAGACACAGTTGTAATTAAGCATTAGGCCAGGCGCAAGTGGCTCATGCCTGTAATCTTAGCTCTTTGGGAGTCCAAGGCGGGCAGATCACCTGAGATCAGGTGTTGGAGACCACCCTGGCCAACATGATGAAACATCCATTCCTGCTTAAAACACAAAAAATTAGCTGGGCATGATGGCGCATGCTTGTAATCCCAGCTACTCAGGAGGCTGAGGCAGGAGAGTCACTTGAACCCAGGAGGTGGAGGTTGCAGTGAGTCGAGATCACACCACCGCACTCCAACCTGGGCAACAACAGTGAAACTCTATCTCAGAAAAATAAAAATAAAAAATAAAAACTAATCATTGACAGGGCACAGTAGCTCACGCCTGTAATCCTAGCACTTTGGCAGGCTGAATCAGGTGGATCACTTGAGGTCAGGAGTTCAAGACCAACCTGACCAACATGCTGAAACCCTGTCTCTACTAAAAATACAAAAACTTAGCTGAGCATGGTGGCAAGCACCTGTAATTCCAGTCGCTCTGGAGACTGAGGCAGGAGAATGGCTTGAACCTGGGAAGGAGAGGTTGCAGTGAGCCAAGACTGTGCCACTGCAGTCCAGCCTGGTAACAGAGCAAGACTGTCTCAAAAAATAATAATAATTGGCCAGGTGCTGTGACTCGTGTCTGTATTCCCAGCACTTTGGGAGGGCGAGGCAGGCAGATCACTTGAGGTTAGGAGTTCGAGCCCATCCTGGGCAACATGGCAAAACCCCATCTCTACTAAAAACACAAAAATTAGCCGAGCATGGTGGCATATGCCTGTGATCCCAGCTACTTTGGAGGCTGAGGCAGGAGAATCGCTGGAACCTAGGAGGCAGAGGCTGCAGTGAGCAGAGATCATGCCATTGTACTTCAGCCTGATGACATAGTGAGACTCTGTCTCAAATGATAATAATAAATACTAAAAATTTAAAAATAATAATGGGAGAAAAAAGTTTTTAAAAAAATAGTAATAAGTGGAGGGTTCGTGGGTGGGAAACTTTTCTGCAGCTCTTTCATGACAGCCCCTCCCTTTCTCCTCACTGACCAGCTGCAAAACCCAAGTTCTATGTGGACATTATCACCTTCGGTGGTTGCTTGTTCCAGCATGGAAACCCTCAGTTCCCTGCAGTGGCAGAGCACCCAACAGAAAACAGGAGAGTTTCTCTGGCTGGGTTTGCAACTCAAGTCAGCAGACCTACCCGGGTGCTTGTGTCACATGGGGAGGCCAGAGGATGGGAAGGTCTCTGTAGGAGAATCCTGATGGCGTTCTCTGCATTGTGAACAGGCAGGGTTTAGAGCCATTGTGGGAGGCTCCTGCCACAGGAGCCACTGAGATTACAAGATTTGCTGCATCCAAACCACATTTGGAGAAAAGTAAAATAAGAAAGGGAGACACAGGCCCGGCAGCGGCACAGTGGCTCATGCCTGTAATCCCTAGTACTTTGGGAGGTGGAGGAGAGAGGATTACTTGGGGTCAGGAGTTCAAGACCAGCGTGGGCAACATACTGA